AAACAAAAAACAAAAAAAAAATCATTTTTATGTTTTTTTTCTCGTCATTATTTGGATATGTTTGAGATCAGAAATATATGCTGCAGACTTTGGTCGCTCATCTCTGGTCAAACACCTGAGCTAATAGGCTTCCAACCCGAGCCCCGTCCACCGATCAACAAGATGGTATTGAATTTTTTTTCTCGGTTCTTAGGTTTCGCCTGACCTAATTAGTGTTTGTGAAATTCAGAGCTATGGCTGGTCATACAATTTAGGTATTAAGAAAATTGCAAAACGTTCATTTATTTCATTTAAAAAAAGATACACCATCGTTTTGAGAAAACCAATTAAAGTACCTCTTACGCTTGGTTCAAACAACTACACGTACTATATTTGTTTGACTGACCTCCCGGGTCGAGATCGCGCCAAATAACCGCTGAAGATTTGGTTTTTTCAGCAAGATTGGAGCGGTTTGGACGTTTTTTTTTCTGGAAAAAGCGGTCAGACCACTCAAATCTTGCTTTAAAAACCGCTCAGAAGCCGCTCATTTCTTGCGGCGGTTTTTGAACGGTTTTCCAAGCAAGATTTGAGCGGTTTTTAAGTGGTTTAATGAACAAAAGCAATCAAAACCATTAAAAGGCCCGGAAAAGGCAATATGACGCTGAGAAGCAGTAAAATTTCTTTCTACAACTCGACCTAAGCAAGAAAGTTTACTGCAGTCTCTAGCACAGGCTCAAGCAGGACATTTTTCGAATGTCTAGACCACAAACAATCTGCTCGACTTTGAAATACCATGCTGTGCTAGAGTGGGCTGCATGCAATTGCTCAGCTATTAAGTTTTTTCTTTTTTCTCAGTCCGCTGAACTTTATTTTAAAAAATTTTCTAGTCCGGGTCGAGGTCGGGGTCTTATGTTGCGACCATTGCGACTCAAAATGAGACTGTTGCGACCATTGCGACCCAAATCGGGTATTTTGCGACGATTGCGACTCAAAATGGGTATGTTGCGACTTTGCGCGACCGAAGACATTTTAATGCTTCCAAATGAGCTGTTTGAGCGAATTTCCAGCGGTTTATCTAAAAACACCGCTTAAAAACCGCTTAAGATTTGAACGGTTTTTGAGCGGTTTATCTAAAAAAACCTCAAAAAACGCGCAAAGTTTGAACGGTTTTTGAGCGGTTTGTCGAGAAAAACCGCTTAAAAACCGTTCAAATCTTGCGCGGTTTTTGAGCTGTTTTCTCAGATAAACCGCTCCAGAACCGTTTAATTCTTGCGCGTTTTTTGAGTGGTTTTCTTAGATAAACAGCTCAAAAACCGCTCAAACCGCTCGCTATGAAGCAAGATTTTGAGCGCGATGGTCTAAAAAAAACCGCTCAAACCGCTCAAATCTTGCTCCAAAATAGGTGAAAAATCTCGACTCGGGCTTTTAAATATTTTTCTGTGAACAGCAATAGTTTGCTTTTCTCGATAAACTTCAATCCAGACCGGGATATGTTTCAAATTAGTAAAAAAAAACGCCGAGCATGAGTTGTACCAAGATCCCATTTAATCGTGAAAAGGCTTTTTGCTAGGCGTCAGGTCCTTTAGTTATGTAAAAAGTTGTTTTGTTTGAGTTATTTTAAGTAATATTTTCAATAACTTTTTAAATTAGCAATAATTGATAAATTAACGGACATGCAATGGTTGCGCAGAAATCCTTAGACAATGGGATCATCTGAGAAAACACTCTCAACGTCCTTAAGAAGACTCGTCCCATATATCCATTTGTGCTGAGAGCCGCACTTCGCTTCAAGCACTGCCTCGTCAGAATTATCAGCAAAATTAAATGCTATACTCTGTACGAAAACAGTTTGGAAGTCACATCCCAAGTCGAGAAGAATGTCAGCCAGATCTGCGTAGTTGTTGTCCGACAACATATTGTCTTGGAACTCTTGAGAAATCGGTCGCACATAACCCCAATCTCCCATTAAAGGTTGCCCTTCTGAAATTTACAGCTCACAAGATAATTATTTGGCAATTATTTGATAATAGAAACGCATAAGTTCATTTCATATGGTTAAGGAAATTAGGCGGCCGGGTTTATTTGGTCATTTTCAGCGTTCGAAAGAAAAACGATCATTTGCCACAGATACCTTGAAATAAATAAACTGAACAAATGTGAAGGAAATAGAACCGGTATCACTATTTTATATGAGAGCGGTGTATGTTATCCCCGTATGTTATCCCTGTTAAGTGTTGAATTCTTTGGAAATCAATTAGGCCGCAAAAAGGAAAATCATGAAAAGTATTTGTTATAATGATACCTCCTAAGTGAGCTCGAATTAATTCAAAATTTAAGTAGCATCCTCAAATTTTCTCACCTGATGTTGTTACCAGCAGACACATCAGGGCGACTCCAATTGTAGCTAAACATATTTGATTGAATTATTGTTCCGACTTTCGATTCGAAAGTGACGGAATATTTGTGCTCGGGGTGGATTTTTTTTTCTTCAGACAAATTTCGACTTTTTAACTAGCCATTTTTGACGGAATTTTTTTATATCATTCAAAAGGTATTGTTGTCTTGAGCTTAAATTTGAAAAGATATATCACCTGTGATCATTTTTCATAATGTTATGGGGGTTTAAGGATTGCCATTTTGGCCATTTAGAGACAATTAACGCGCGATATAATTCGCGCTATTAACGCTTAAGCGGAGATTTAATCCGTCTTAGAAAACGCTTCAAATTGGTTGAAAGAAGCTTATTTGCCATAATTGATTTGTTAGAAGGAGCGAAATCTATTGTTTTGTACTTAATATGGCGTGTGGGGGGATGATTTTCATAGAAAAAATTCAAATTTTAGAAATAAAAACTTTCGTTTTATTTTTTTTTATTTGATTTTTTTATGTTGTTTATGATATTACTGCTCCATAAAACTTAAAGGCAGTCGGAATATTCAGGGCTTCGCCCTGATACGGGCAGTCTTGTTGTTCCGACTTTCGATACGAAAGTAACGGAATATTTGTGCTCGGGGTGGGTTTTTTTTCTTCAGACAAATTTCGACTTTTTAACTAGCCATTTTTGACGGATTTTTTTTATATCATTCAAAAGGTATTGTTGTCTTGAGCTTAAATTTCAAAAGATATTTCACCTGTGATCATTTTTTGTGAAGTTATGAGGGTTTAAAGATTTGGGACAATTATCGCGCGATATAATTCGCGCTATTAACGCGTAAGCGGAGATTTAATCCGTCTTATAAATCGTTCCAAATTGGTTGAACGAAGCTTATTTGCCATAATTGATTGAATACAACGAATGAAATCTCTCTTTTTGTACTTTATATGGCGTGTGGGGGGATGATTTTCATACAAAATTTCAAATTTAAAAAAAAAATTCATTTTATTTTATTTCATTAAACTTTTTTATGTTATTACTGCTGCTCCATAAACCTTAAAAGGCAGTCGGAACATTCAGGGCTTCGCCCTGATACGAGCAGTCTTGTATTGATTTCAAATCGAATCTTTCTTCGGAAACTTATGTTAAAATAATATTCAAATTAAATACTGCCAGTTTTGGTTTAAAAATGATTCAGCCGCATATGAGGTAAGGTATTCCACGCTACATATGTAATTTATCGATACCAATGGGCAGAACTTGCCGCTATTTGTTCTCAACCGTCCCTTCTTTTAAACCGCCCGGGCCGGTTACAGCTATATTACACAGAAATCAGTATGGCGGTGGCTTTCTATTTTGCTACCATCTAGCTACCACTCCATAGAAGTTACACAAAAAGAGAAATGAAGACCTGGCGGCTAAGAAAACGTAATACATATTTGAAAACTTTACCTACCGAGAAATTCAGCTGCAGACCTCATCCTCGAAAGTTTTTTGAAATAGCTTTTGAGTGAAAACTATAATACTTCACGATCTCTTTAACTTTTCCCCATATTGTTAAAAAGGGTGAGGGGGACTCGTTACTATGTACAAATCCGCAAATGCTCAACCATTGATTTAGTTCATTATAGCGTTGGTTATTCTATGATAGATACCATAGGGGTGAAAAGTTAAAGGGATCCGTATTTCATACCAAACAGTAATTTAACAATTGCTATAATGAATTTCTGTCGATTTGGAAATAATAAAATGTCGATCCTGAAACACTTAAGCATAAGCTTAGTCTATTAGGGAGGTTCGAACCTCAAGCATAGTCTATCAAAACTCACAGACAGGCGGTGTTGAACATTTGTTTATAACTAGCCAGTATAATTATATATAATTATAACCCAGTTCCAACAAATTGAAAGGCCAGACTTCAAAAAATAATTAGGATTTTATTTATTTCCTAACATTTTCATAATGACGCTATTCCGTTTTCAATTTTTTCTGGACCGTGCTTCAATTATGTTTCCTTAACACCACATTTTATCTCCATGAATCAGACAATCTTCATTTGGTCAAACTGAACTAATTTTTAGGCAAATTGCGACCTTGTTCAACGCAAAATAAGTGTTTTTTTTTTAGATGGGGACATTAATCAATGTTTTGAAAGGCTTTCTTTGGCATATATTTTTTCCTTCTCATCGTTGCGGCGTTCGAACAAAATTACGGAAAATTTCTGGTTTCTCTATGATACAAACTTCGAATTTACAATATTAAAATCATAAAATTAAACTTGATATTAAAAAAGAACTTGATTTTAGAACATACTTTTGCAATAGAAGTTTATTTCAACTACTATTTGACGAAAGTGTTGGCGGCTTTATCCTCTCGAAAAACATCGCAAAAATTTCTATAGTTTCTTTTCTTTAGACAGAAATACCAGAGCCGAGAATTTTTTTCAGCTAATTGCGCATCTTTTTGTTGACTTTTTAAAGTTGGAAAAATTTTGTTCTTATCATGTCTGTTTATTATTGAATTTTCATTTACAAGTGATTTTTTGAACAACTTAATTTGATAAGCACTATTTTTTATGTACGAAGATAAGTGATTTTTTATACTGACCATGTCAAGCTGATATATCAACCTTAATATCAACTTACTACAATGTCATAACAATTTTATATCATCTGAATAAAAACGGGTCGACGGGTAATTTTTTCTCGATTCATCAAACTATCAGTAATCATTCTACCTGCTAAAATTTGAAAATCTTAAAACTGAAATTTTTTGAAGATCATTCAGAATTCTAAAACTTTAGTGAACTTGAAGTTTTTACTCTAAAAGGAGTGAACATGAAAACACGGCCCTTTTTATCATAGCCATTTGCAAATACCAAAAAAAACTTTGCTTTAGAACATAAGCAAGAATTACAACAGACACGCTTACGATAGAAGACCTGACTATGATAAATCTGGAATTCGTCATGACAGAAGACATATCTCTGACAGTTTGGTTTTTGAGGTTTTTATCCATGTTTTATGTAACAAAGCGCAGCAGGTTTGTATTTACCGTCAATCATTATTTTGAGCTGTACTGAAAAAAATATATATTTTTTTTCAGGCCATGAAAAAACATTTAAATTAGATTACGAGGCCAAACTGTGCATTTTATGAAGTGTAAGCGGATTCCGCAACAGGCAAAAATCCAATTTGTCTCGGAATCCGCAACCTTGCCATTTTTCTGTGTTGCCACACTGTGTTCCCAAATTCGCGCCAAATACAGGCAACTTTGCGGAATCCGAAACAAAATGTGTGGAATCTAGAACCAGTTGTGGAACTCATGAACAAATAAAAATATATGCGTTAAGTAAACATCAGCTGTCGCGGAGTCCGCAACTGTAAGTGGATCCCGGAAAATTGTATGCTCATTCCGCAAACCGTTAGTGTTTAGCCGATTATATCACAAGAGCTAGAGAGTTTCAGTATAATTTAGATCAATTAGACGAGGGTTTAAGTGAAAAGGTGTTTGAGTGAATCATTCTTATTGGCCGAATGAAGTAGTTCAATATTTAATATTTTGATAAAACTTAGCAAAAATGATAAGACTTCGACTGAAATCAGGCAAAAATTATTAAACTTCAAAAAAGATCATAGAAACGAGAAGGAGATGATTGAGCATTCGTTTATTTGAAAAAAAAAGTGTCTTTTGAGTGCAAAAAGTTAGAACGTATAGCAGCTCACTGTAGATCTAAGTTAACGGATAAGTTTAACCAGTCACCCAGAAATAGACCTCCTGTAAAATATTTGCGGTGCTTAGCATTAGGGCTTATAAATGGAGATTGTAAGAAGTATTTAGAAGAAAAAAACTTAAGGGAAGAGCGAGAGTTGTTGACTGAAAGAAATGAAACTCATTTTAGTTTTTACAGCTCAGCCGATAGAACCGATATTGACCTAAATTTAGATTCACGCGCAAATTGCATATGATCATTAGTATGATTGGGTAAACACTCATTTGTTGAGCTGGAAGAGTCTTTGAGTGAAACTGTTAAAAACAATAGCAAAACTTAGTCTAATGGATAGATAGTTGAGTTTACTGTGAGGAAACTTCAAAAAATTTCCAGGAAACTTCAAAAAATTTCAATAGGCGATTGGTTTCTACGTACCAGGAAGCTTAAAAATTTTAATGTCAGTCTCAAAACATGCAAGAGGAGGTCTAAGTAAATTTTCGGAGAAAAGTCATGTACTGAGCCAGGAAATGGGACCGTTTACCCTTGAGATGAGCGAGGAATTCTCTTTGCTTGAAAAGCAACAGGATTTAGAAATCAAGCAAAGCTAAGTACTAATTTAGCCGAGAACAAACATCTCGGATGCAGATTCAATGAAACTTTTTTTTGCAAAGAGACAGAAGAGAATTTTGAGATTTCTACTTAACAAAATGAGAACGAATTTGGTGATAAGCGGCGATGACAAAACCAATAATTTGGAGTTGAATAATGTGGTTAAAAGCACGTCCAAAAAGTCACACTTCGTTAGATGAACGGGTAAGGAGGAGTCGAAAAGCATATGTGAATTTGACAAGTTTCAGATTATGTAATTGATTATAGGCTCAAATTAAGAAGAGATTAGGAAGTTCGAAAGCACAGCAAGCAAACAAACAGGATTTTTGAGCTAGAACAGAAAGAAACTGATAGTTCTATCAACAGCAAACATCGTATCGGATACGGTTAAACTGAACTTCCGGACTAATTTAAGCTAATATTCGGTTTTTAATTTGAAATGACGAGGGTTAAATTTCGGAGAAATAACTTCTCACTTTATAGAGAAGTCACTTCCCAATTGTCGGATCAACTCAACAGGCGGTTAATTTTCCATGTATAAAAAAGGTGATATACTACTATGTTTTTGCTCTCTATTCAACTGTTGATGATACTTCGTTTTGCTGCCAACCTGTGGAAAGTCTTAAATATCAGTTTTTTGTCTTCCTAATACTAAACAAGGTCAATTTTAGATGAACTGAAATAACAGTTAGTGGTATGAGCGACTTGAACTGTGACTTTTTTTCTGGAATCAGCAAATTATCAGCTTGTAGTCAATCTACCTGCCGAAAATAGTTTGAACAAAATTTGGAGTTTTAGGTCTATTTTGTAATAAAAACTCATTTTTTCAACAAAATGATGTTGGGCACTTTAAAATATTTTTTCGCAAAAACGTCAAAGTCAAAAATTTAAGATTATAATCTTTTCAATGTCACCGTAAATCTTTTCTTTTTAATGGAATATGAATCAATTGAAAACCTTAAATGAACTTGAAGGATCGTAAAAATAGTAAGTAAGCTAGCAACGTATAAGAGTAAAAGAGCATGGCTAGAAAAAAGTTGCTGTTATTTTGATTCTGGCATAAGTTGAAACGTTTAACAAGCTGATATTTAAAAAAATAGAAACAACGAGAAAGAAAAACAAACTGTCTATTGGTCTAGCCAGATATGCTAGCGTCCGAAAAATTTTACTTCAAAGAATTTTTTTACCCAAATTTGCGTTTAAATCGTTTATTTTTTTCTGCCTGTATATACCTGTATTACTGGTCTTCAAATCAACAGAAAATGTAAATTTATGGCGCAATTCTTTGAACCTTCAAATAAATGGCTCCTGAAGCTCGATAAAAAGTATGGAACTTCTTGTTTGCCTTTTTTTAATGGTTCAAAGCTCACAATCTGATAACCCATCTCGGGTACTTTTTTAATTTTTTTTCCAAACGGAGGCTGAAATTTGATGATATTCAAAATTCACACGAATACAACTCAAAACAGAGTAAACATGAAACTGGAAGTATTTTATGTGGTTTCGTCTATCAAAGCGTTCTTTCTGTCGGCACTAACCCGTGAATATTTTCTCTCTCATTCTACTGGGAGCAAAAAAAGCGCAGTTTGCGTGGCTAGCAACCACAAAGAGAAATTGAGTGTGTTGAGTGGTCTAAATAGAGAAGCCAATTCCTTCCAATTAAAAGTTTTTTGCTAAATTTTCTCTGATTCTGGTGAAATTTCGTACGATGTGTTTTTTTTTCTAATCATTCACTGCTTTCGCATAAAAGTTATGAATTTTCGTGGAGCCGCGTTTGGGAAATTTCTTCTACATTTTGTAAGTTACTCAGGTTTTCGGGTTATTCTTTTGATTGAGTTTTCTAACTCTGGCAAAAAAAACTTTCATCAAGAACTGATTGAAAACAAAAGAATACAATTAGCTGAAAACAATAAAGAGCATGAAAACTTCCTGATTTTTAAATTAAAATGGTAATTTATGTTCTCAGCAGGGGAGGATCTAGGATTTTCTCGAGGGAGGGGAGAGGAATTTCAAAAAAATCTAAAACTTTATTGACCTTTTACAGTTTTCTACGCCCCAATCAAAATTTTGAAAAAAAAAAATAGTCCAAAAAGGCAATTCCCCTCAAATTAGTAAATATTGCCGCGTAGGCGCCTTTAGAAACAATTTAGAGTCCTTCAGTAAGCTGCATGTCTCAGAATACTACAAAGGGGGACGATTTGGGTCGGCACGGGGTCGAATTCCTGAAAAGGTAGAGGAGCTAATTGACACGCTAGGCAATCAACATCATGAA